ACAAACTTATCGAACCGGTAATATTTGTTCGGACCATTTTTTGCCAGATGTCCCAGAATTTATGAAAACAGCTGTAATTACGGCTTATTTTCATTTGTCCTGGGACAACAGATAAAAAGTCATTTACCGAATTGCTCTGAATCATAAGTCACTGAGTCGGAATCAATAAGCTATTGAGTCGATCAATTTATTATTATCGATTCGGCCGAATTAATTTTTTCAGTTGTCCCAAGCTGTAAACTAGATGGCCTGTCGAAATGGCTGTTCATAAATAATTAGGTAATATTGGTTAGGGATAGATACGCACTTTAGTAATTAGAAAGAATAATAATGAAGTTAAGTAACTTCTGATAACTCAACTTTGGGTTTTTCTCACATCTTAGTATTTGGCTTGCCGAGAGACATTCATGGTATTTAGAAAAGCAACTAGAATGGTACGTACGTACGTATGTTAGCCACAAGCAGATAGATTAGCTTAGCAACTAGAGAAAACAAAATTTTTAACACAATAGTACCACGCTCGCCAAGATACAGTGACATAATTAGTAAGCTAAGTATTTTACACGAAATTGAAAAGGACAGAATAGCAATAACTGTATTTGTCGTTTAATTAGATTTTAACAATAAATAAAATTGCACAAACGGTGTCTAAACAAATCTGTTCAATCGTCTGAATTTCAAAGAATTTCAACCCAATAAAACACAATCGGTTCAGGTGGTTAGATAATGCACAGTATTTTGAAGTACATGCGAAAAATTCAAAAAAATTGGTTAATTAGATACCAAATGTAATTATAATCCATATATTACTTTAGGATGTTTATTAAAACTTTATTACGTTAATAAAATATATTATATTGTAACTTGGGTCGACAAACAATTTTTTGGTTCTCATAACCCGGGTAGATAGCTTTTTAATAAACTTTGACAATAAATTTTACCCAGACTGCCGGGTCACTTTAAAATTTATGAGAACCAAAAAAAATTTACTTTGTATGGACTTACAGTATATATTTTTTATATGCATCTGGTTTATGTAGCAGACAAGTACTTTTGTAATTATATTAATAAATCTAAATAAGCGAATATTCACAAATTTCTTCAGAATCATACCACTAATCAGCAAAATTTTTAAATTCCCTATATGTTATTTTTTGTTATCAGTTAGATAAAATATGGACGCATATTATATAAATGCACAGTTTTTGAAAAATAGAAGTATAACGATAGGAATAATATTTTCCACACTAAAAGAAATAAAGAAGTTCAAAAAATATATATCAGATATATACAGTACGTACGGACGTACGTACAGTTATGGCGTTAATAATATAATAACTTTCTGGTAGAAGTTACGTCTTCCGAACTATAAGTTGTAGAAAACGGTAACGGATATCCAAAGTTAGAGTTAGGTCGTGAATAACTCGAAAATGTGGTCTCGTTGTTCAAAGTTTCTGTTTTAGGCTTCTTACGCGCTTTATTAAAGTTAAAATAATATAAACAAATTTCATTATTAAATAAAAAAATTGCTAAAATTTTCAATACTTACAACTTTGTTCATTCGTCTCTTTGAAATTCTTTAAATATTCTTGATATTGCTATTTATTTCTCTTTTTTTTTAGACTTTATTATTCAAAGATTACATAAATACATAAAAACTTGATAAACAACTTACTTTCCATTGTTTTGTCGTTTTATACTCTGATAAAGCAATTTGATATTCCTCTTTAGCTTTTAAAGCTGTAATTTCCATTTCTTCTTTTTCTTTTGGAGGAATATTTTTCCAGTGATCACCTACAATCTTTGCCATATCAGCGAAAGAAATACCTTTTCCTTGATATGTTTCACGGACTTTATGAGCAAACATGACATAGGCAGAAGGTGGTTTTACAGGCGCATTTTTGTCTTGTTTTGGGTGACGGCAGTATTTCCGTTTTGTAATATTGCTTCCCGTTAAATCATATTCCTTGGATACTTCATTTTTTTGTTGTAGAGAACCCGCTGGGCAATTGACATTCGGTGGTACGAAAGGTGTGATATACGGAGTTGACATACCATTATTTGAATGTAATTGACCATCTATTATTATTGATCAATGGTTTTTAATTAATAAAATTTCTATTATTAAAATTTTGCAATTGCAGAATTGTCAAGTTTTTTTTTTTATGTTGTAATAAATAATTACCAAGTTGACTCCCTAATCCTGATCTAATTGGTATAGGAATAGGCAAACTTGGTGGAATTCCTCTTATAGTGATTATTTCACGTTGTAATCTCTGCATTAAAATATCACGAGGATGATTTCGGTATTATAAAAAGATACATGGGCCTTTGTCACGAAATTGACCCTCTAACACATTGATTTATCATATAGTATTGAAGGGGCATTTTCATGTTAAGACTTTATATGATAACTAATGTTAATTACCCTTCTATGGCCGCGTTTAACGTCCATTGCAATGAGATCCGCCTCAGTCACGTCAAGTAGCTATTTACGGTATACAATACATTATCCATAATTGGGTGTCAATTGTCGAAAAAAGTTTTTTTCTTGATCTACTAAACCATTCTTCATCAAACATAAGAATTCTTGGATAGGGTTTGTACTTACTGACTCTAATTGGTCAAATCCTTCCGAAATGAATCGTTCATAATATTCTAATAAGTTACATTTTCTTAAGATGTCTTGGATTCGTAAATTCGAAGTATTTGGCATTATTTTGTCAGTTATTTTGCTAAACACTTTCGATCTGTACTTTTATTATTATTACTATTATTATTATTATTCAAAGGTTATTCCATAAAAAATCGAATAGGCAAAAATGCCTTTAAGAAAATGTGGCATTGAGAAAATATTTTAATATAAAATTTTTTTTTAGTTATAAAATTGTAATAATTTAGGATAAGTCAGTGTTTTTTATAACACTAATTATAGAAAATTTCGATAACGATAATTGATTTTTACCTGGTAATCATAAATATGTTGTAGGAAAAATTACTTGGTTTTTTGTTATTTTATATTTTATATGGAATAAATCTTGATTAAAAAAAGCTATCAATCTTATGACATCATGAACTTTACGATTATAGAATTATACACAAACATTTTATTTATATATTATTGTGATTACTTTATATAATCTTGATTATAACCTTGACTTTTTTAAACAATAAATTATCAATCAAATATCGATATGAATTTATATCTTGAAATTCTGATTTCAATAAAATTCTCAAAGTTAATCTACTT